TCCCATTATCTCAATTTGGTTGAGTAAACATCGAACAAACATGATAATAATACAAAACGTTTACAATTTTGCCGTTTGGATGTAGAAGAATGAGTAACAGTCCAAAGTTCTTTTCAAGTTATACATTTTTGCCAATCTAATCGGAGAATGTGGATCTAATCGAATTCAAATGGCCACGACAATCTCCTGACTTGACACCTCTATACAGAGAAGTGCACAGAAAACGGCCAGGATTGTAACTTTTGAATTATTCGAGATAGGTAATTGAAAATTGGTGGGCGGCCTATATACAAAATTGCTCATTAATTGGCGAGACAAGTTTTGTTATATCACATCCGGTTTTACTGGAATCGACCGCATCTTTTGATTTTCAAATGAGATTGTATTCCATAATCGGTTAGGGATTGTCGTAACGAATTCATCGATACCGGGTTTGATAGGGTTATTTCAAACGATTACGCAGATATTCGCGTTCTAAGCTTCCATTTGCTCAATGAGTGTGACAGAGAAAGAAGTTTTGATATTGCGAAGTCACACTCATTTAGCATAATATGGAAACTTCGAACGCAAATATCTGTGTAATCGTTTGAAATAACCCTATCAAACCCGGTACCGTTGAATTCGTCATGATAATCTCTAACCGATTATGGAATACAATACAGGGTGTCCCATTTTAAAATCAAAAGATGGTGTCGTTTCCGGTGAAAGTGATAGAAGAAAAATTAATTCATCAATTAGTGAGCAATTTGGTATACTTGCTACCCACCAATTTTCAAAACCCTATCTAGAATAATTCAAAAGTTACAACCTTGGCCGTTTTTTGTGCACTCATCTGTATATCTTCCCATCCAGCTATATTTAGGTACAGTAATTATACATGTAGGTATGTAGTGTGATTTTCGCAATATTTTTCAGAAACGGGCCATTATTTGTAACTATAGAGTGGTACTAAATTAAATTTAAAATTATTCTGATACATTTGAATACGTCAAATTCCGCATTTGATACCCGAGTTTATACCACTTCGTTTATGATTGAGAAGAACGTTCTACATACAGAGTAGTTGAAATTTTAAGTGTTGGAAACACACAGTCTAACGAAAAAAATTCCAAAACATTAGATTTTATGTCAACTTGAAAATTGAAAAAAATCTTTGAGCATATTTTATTTTGATCCCTACATTTCTTCAATGGAGCTTTCAATTGTCATTCAATTAAACTGATCGGACACCACTAGAAAATGTTCTTCAGAGCAAAAACACATTATCCTTGACTTTTTTTCATCATTTCTCTTAGGGTTCGAATAATATGCATTCAATTCACATATCACCCTGTATAGTGAACAAACAAAGTATAAAGCCACCTAGATAAAATAAAAGTAATCAAATAAAACATGACTTTCGGAATTCAGACCCAAAAATAACTCTACTCTATGTAAAATGATATCCATACAAAAATGTGATACAAATATATTTTTTGAAGAAAAAAATTTTGGAAATTTGATCAGAAAATGAAAAATTAAATCTTTCAAATTTTCTTGCCCCTGTTTTCATAATATTTCATCACCACCAATGAACCCTGATATTATATAACTTTCATTAAAGTATGGTACATTTTTGCGGGTAGAGTGACCTTAAGCTAATAACAGCGCACAATAAGCTCTTGGATTTTTCTTTCGATGTATTTTCCACGAAGGTTTTTCCATGCGGAGATTACATTTCCTCATTCTAACAAGCAAACTTTAGAAACCTCAAAGCCTGAAGCAAAACCCTTGTTAGAGCGAAGCAATTCCAGACCCTTTCGCAAAACTTCATTTTTTTTTCTCAATGCAAAACAATTCTCCGATAATTATAATTTTTATCTTTTCATTGTTAGCATTTTACGTTTTCTATGTGCATGTGCAACATTGATGGGCTATTACGCTTTACTTTCCAATTTTAGCATCAGTAAAATATTAAACATTCGCATTGTTTCACAAACAAACCTCTTCGAAATTGCAATCAAGAATATGCATGACTTTTGCCATAAATAAATGTTTCATACTGAACAGGATTCCACAGCTGGAATTATTCAAAAATAAAATTCATAGCCATAAGTCCATCACTACCTACTCCTTGACATTTAAAATGTATTGCAACTGCTGAAGGAGAGATTGTTTATTTTGGGTTATTTATAAAATTAGATCAGGGTGAACACATCAAATCATTGCAATCGTTCTAAAAATTGTTAAAAGCATGTTAGAGGTTCGTCGAACATGAAACATGATAATGAAAAGTATGGTAGTGATGGAATAACAAGAAGTGTGAATTTATGTGTACAGTTAGAAATCTCTGCTATAATCCCTTCACTAGCAATACCAGTCAGACGAACTCAACAGGCCCAGTCAGCACATCCCTTCGTCGGAAACATTGAAAAATGTCAAACAACACTCTACCAAAACTCGTTCGTCTATAGAACGCCGAAGCTTTGAAAGAACTCCGAAAGTTGAAAAAAATCGACCTCTCCCTGTCCTGCAGGTACGCGCGATGTTCCACAAACATAGGAATTTCAATTCGTGCACTCCAAGAGATGAAGAAAGGTCGATATCGTTTTTATTTTTAGATAAATTGACTTGATTTTGCTATCAACATGAATGTCAAGTAGAGAATACATGAATGAGATCCTCGATGAGATCAGTTTCTGATTAAAGAAACCATTAATTTTTTCTGTGACGGGAAAAAAGTTTGGCGTTTCATCTCTGTTGGCAGGTTAAATGTCACTTTTCATAAATAACTTTTTTCCCGTGGGCAAAAAGTGAGTACTTTTTTCCCGGATATATATCACATATTATATATACACTGTTGAAGGCTTTTGTTGTGCTATAGTTCTGAAAAATGAGTCAATAATACCGTCTCCGAGAAAGAACTGCAAGTCCTTATCTTCGATTCGACTTCGCGGTTACGTATATTACTAAACAACCACTAAATTCGCAATTTTTTGAAATCAAATCACAGAATTAGACTGACAGAAGTGACATCAAATATTTGATTACTTCAAAAGAATGATAAAGATGCCTATAGAACGCAGGTGTCCCTACTGTTAAAAACTCAAAATTTCACGTCGATAATTTTCAGATTTCAAAATAATGTAACATTTTCTCAAAACTGATTCGTCCTTTCTTCTGTCACAGAAAAAAATAGTGTATATACACGGGAAAAATATTAGATTTTAGCTCACGGTTTTTTGTCTCCCTCCGCTACGCGTCGGGAGACAACACAACCTGGAGCTAAAATCTACAACTTTTTTCCCTTGTATAATAAATAACTATTATTCGTTAATATCGGTATCTACAAATACGCCTTCCTACGCAGATAATATGTGTCCAAAAGTCCTTTTTTCAAGAGTGTGCAATGATTTTCGAGTGTTATTTATAGCTTGAAGTGTGTGGAAAACCACATTATTAGAGACAACTTCAATTGGAATACATACATATAGGTCAAGTGTTGAAAGACATTTTTTTATGTTCTGAGAAAACATAATATACATACAGTATGATGCAAATGTATGGAATAAATTCATTATTTCAGAAATGGGCGACATTTGAAAAAATTCCAAATACACGTGAGTTTTAATTTCTGAAGCCTCATCTCATGATATTCATATGAGAGATGTTACGTCATCGGTGTTGGAGTAAAGACGTAATGGACGATTTTTTCAAATACAAATAGGGGTCATGTGACACCTTGATTGAAAGGTCTACCGATCGTCTATTCAACAGTCAAAATGTTGCATAAGAAGATTGAAATTAAAATGGATTATCATGTGATTAATTGAATCTTGCAGAGGTCTGCTACTGAGAATTGAACATCGAAGGGTCGTCTAGTTAAAAAAATACGTCGAAAAAAAAGTTCTAAACTCTAGTTTTTTTTTTTTTTTTCGAAAGTCGTCTTGTTTTGAAATGAATTTATTCCATACATTTGCATCATCCTGTATAATACTGAAGTCCACATCAATGGTTACACATTCTCAACTGAACATTTATTGATACATGCGGATTCATTGATGACTGTCTTGGTATTACAGGAATAATATTTTTCTCCGATTGGCAGCAAATATTAATTTTGCTGACACATATCAATCAGCAAAGTATTGCTTTTCCTGCCTAGGCACCAAAGTGGGTACTTTGCTGCCTAGGCAGCAAAGTAGTTGCTTTGCTGATTGATATGTATCAGCGAAATTAATAATCCATCAATCGTTTATAATTTCCTTCATATTTCATTCGAGACTTCTCCGGCAACAAATTCAACTCTATATTTTTTGCCATCACCTCCCTTATTTCTGGAGGTGTAAGTACTTCCAGGTCGCTATCACTGTCCATTATATGATAATTTAAATATATCGATTTTTTTTTTGCACAACTGTCAGAATTTTCATGAACTGTCAAACTATAATCATCATACAACTGCAATTTCAATCAAATTTCATTTTAATTGAACACTACAGGAAAAATAAAGAGATTGTGCGAATTGTAATAACTTGCAATTACAATATCCTCCTATATCATTATGAACAATCGGAGAAAAAATTATATGTTCAACTCGACAGCAAAGTAGATTGACTGCCTTAGCTGGATTCCTAGCCTCGCTACGCTCGGCTATGAATTCAGCCTCGGCAGTCAATCTACTACTTTGCTGCCTAGTTAAACAAATAACTATATTCTCCATGATAATTATGAAAAACACGAGGAAATATCGATTACATGCAATTTCAACTCTGATCCGCATACTCTTATCTTATCACTCTTATCCATATGCGCACTCTTATCCATATGCGCACTCCTATCCATATGCGCACTCTTATCCATATGCGCACTCTTATCCATATGCGCACTCTTATCCATATGCGCACTCTTATCCATATGCGCACTCTTATCCATATATGCGCGCACTCCTATACATAAGCGCAGTTTCAACTACCATCTAAGAGTGTGAATAATTTTCTAATAACATTTTTTATTTCCAGGTGTGCGAGTATCTTGGCATATCCAACGAATCTGACTATTTCGGACTCAAGTTCGAAAACAATAAGGGCGAAGAATTGTGGCTGAACTTGCGCAATCCCATCGACAGACAGGTGCATTGCCACGGCCCCTCCAACCCCCTCAGGTTGGCCTTGAGGGTTAAGTTTTGGGTGCCGCCGCACCTGCTCCTGCAGGAGACCACCAGGTGAGCAAAAAAACAGATCGAGTTATAATTTTTTTTGTAAAGTTGTTTCAATACTTTAATGGGTTTATATAACAAAAAAATGTATTTCATAATTCGATAGAACTCACCCAAACTAGCTCACCACCGCAAACCGTTTCTTGCTGTGAGCTCCCTACGTTTTATAAAACATTATTGAAATCCCCGATTTTTTGGACCTCTGGAAACGAGACGATGTTGTGACGTCAAAACCCTAATACTGAAACAAGACTATTCCAGACAGAGATGAATGATACATGATTTCTGACAGAGTGGATTAGCGCGAGATCACAGTTGAAAGAATTAATATATCAGTTGCCTCAGTCTCCGTCAGGCGTTTGGTATTTTCTTTTAACTATGGCGAGATGAGGTTTCTACGTCATAAGAGGGTCCGTTTTCAGAAGGTACTATTATTTATGTCCAAAAATAAAACATTACAGTTAATTTTTCGGATTTACTCACTGTCTCTTTGGAGATAGAACCTTGCGGTTTTCGCGGTCCTGTGCTACTTTTTCGTGAAACTGAAGATGGCCTGATCAGATTTTGCAGGACTGTTTCCGTTTATGAGATACAGGGCGATTTTGAAAATTTATACTTTTTGGACCCACACTATATCTACGAAGTTCATCAGCGAAAATGTCAAATTAAAATCTCAACCCATAGAGAATTTTATGCAGAATCCAGTGGCGCACAGAAGTTTTTTTTTTCGGGGTGTGGTTTTGAAGATACGACTCAAACTTATGATTTTTTAAATTGAACTCCCTGTATTTTACAAGCTCATTAAATTCCTTATTTTTAACAGTAACATTTTCAAAAATGTTCAAAAATCACTAAAACATTGAATTTAAATAGTGGGCTATGGGTTTTTCGAGGGATTTTCATATAAAGAAATTTACAATTGAAGGAATATTTCCTTTGATTGTTCCATGAAGGGGAAAATAACAATTTCAACACTAATTAACTTGCAATACACAAAACTTTGACCTGATATCCACAAATATATAGTAATGAAAAGTTTATAATGTAGAATAAGCACCTGATTGAATATTCACTAAAACAATTGAATTTCGAAATTATTCAGTGATTTATTCATTGAATTGTTCAAATTGATGTCCATTTTCCATCACAAACTTTCTCAATACATATTAGTCATTGAAAGATGTCTTTGTAATTCCTGGAAAACTGCCTCTGTTGTTTCAAAAAGTTCTTCAAGTATGTTGGGCCACTCACTGTATTAAGAAGTATAAAGAAAGTTTGTCAACTGTATGTTAGGGAAAATGGATATCAATTTGAACATGTCAATGAATGAGTTACTGAATAATTCCGGAATTCAATTGTTCTAGTCAATATTTAATCAGGTGCTTATTCTACATTATAAACTTTTTATTACTATTTATTTGTCGCTATCAGGTACCCAAGTTCAGTGTTTCTGTCTACGCCTATGTACCCACGTTTTTTTTATATCAGCCTCGGCCTTGAAAAGAAATACATTATTACCAAAAAACAAATGTCTAAATTGATTTAATCACCTCTAGCGATAATTTGTAACAAGTCGTAAATTAAATGACCTCATTAATATTAAATTGATATCATTATATTGATTACAAATGAAAATCTCTCGAGCTGAACTACTCAAAATATATTTCGTTTTTGCAACAGGACAATAGCTTCGAATAATTAATTCACTAGGTCATGACTCGTCGTTCATTAAAAACAGAGGATTAACCAAAGGCTAGGAATAACTATTTAGTGCATTGTCTCCACCAAAAAAAGTGGAAAAAATGCGAATTTGAAAACAAAATAATGATGAATAAATGATCGTTTCGGATAAACCGGATCAACTTCATTTTTTATATGGCCTGTAAGAAAAGCATACTCTGTAAAAAATAAACATGAGAGCAACTCAAGTCGTCAACGCTCGCAATAGCTTCATGCTTTGGTATGTTTTTTAAAAAAGTTTTGTCACTTTCCTCTATTTGTATTGTCATATTTCGTCTTTTACAGTTACTTTTTTGTCTGATGATGGCCGTTGCGCCGAAACCGGTTACATGTAATCTTTAATATATATTTTTTATAAAGTGTGGTCGACCGACTTTGAGAAATTTGGTGTTTTTCTTTCGAAAATTACTTTGGACCACTTTGAGATATGGATGATTTTCATGATTTAATTCGTAAAAAGTTTGGTTATGAACGCCGCTTTATGGTTTCCAAGATCCCCATGATGGAAATCGTAATATTGGACACACTGATGTATAATGAATATAACTATTATTTCCAGACATCAATTTTACCTGCACACCAAAGTCGACCTGCTGGACAAGCAGCTGCTCGCCAAAGACTGGGAGAGCGTTTCGACCCTCATCGCCCTCATCGCGCAAGCCGAAACGGGCGACTACAAACCCTTCAACCCCCCGCACACCACCTATGTGCAGGCGTCTTCCATCTCGCCGACGGACGACTCTCCGAAGCCGCCCGATCTGCTGCAGAAGATCATCGGCAAACATCGGCAGTTCGCCGGCATGAAGAGCACCACCGCTGAGTATTGGCTGCTCAAAGAGGCGGCCGAGTTCGAGACCTTCGGGGAGGAGAGGTTCGTCACCAAGCATTCCGGAGGCGTCACCCTAGGTTGGTATGAAACCGTATTTTGATTCTCATAAATGTTCTTTGGTACATGTCTGCGTGTTTGTCCAATGTTTTCAGAATTTTATAGTGCTCCTTGAGAGTGTTGAATGAAATTTGTCGTGTCTGCCCAATATATTACATATTTTATGATGTTCCATGAATCTTCATCATATATATCGACGTGTTTGTCCAATATATGTACAATTTCGAATATTTTAGTGTTCCTTGAAACAATTTTTCGATTCTCATGTTCTCTGAACCTTTGCCACATATTTTCGCATGATTACCAAATCGAATCTCATAGTGTTCTTTGAAACTGATTCGTACATTCTGGCGTGTTTTCCCAACATTTCTCGAAGGTTATTGTGGCCCTTGAAGCTATTCTATACATTTCAGCGTGTTCGCTCAATATTTTTCGAATCTCAGTGATCCTTCAAACTGTTCCATACATTTTGGCGAGTTTGCCCAATATTTATCAAATTTTAGTGTTCCTTGAAACTCTTCCATACAGTGTACTGAACTTTCCATAATGAGAGATTTTGAAGGCTTCCAGCTCTGAAGCCATCAGTTGGCCTTTCCTGCACATGTAGGTGTGCTTCCTGTGCTTGTAGAGCTAGAGCTGCAGTGTTCTGCAGTCAAACAAGGGTTATTAGTGTAGTAGTTGGTCATCTGAGGAACATTCTGGCTTGAATGAATGATATCTTCTTCTGGCATAGCAGCAAGACCAATCCAGAGTTTAGGTCCTACGAACTCTTCTTAGCAGTGTTGAATAAGGTCTTCTGGTCCTCTTATCCAGACTTTCCACAGGCTCTCTGCTTCCATCAAAATCTTGCAAAACCTGTGAAGCTTAGCAAAATACTATCAACAGTTCACTCTTGGGTATGAGGCATACCAAAGGCCACTCACCTTAGGTTATAGTCCCAATCCTATACATGTAGGTGTGCTTCTTGAAACTATTTCCCATAGTCAGATGGTTTTTCTAACACACCACGGGCAATTAGAGGTAGACCAGCTGCTCAGGAACATTTTGGCTCAAATCAATGACATATTTCTTGCTACAGCAGCGAGACCAACTCGTAGTTTACATCCTACAAACCCTTGGAGATCTCCTTACCAAGCAATCTTTTTTCCTTTCAGGTGTGGGACCCCATGGTATCACCATCTACCGCAACGACCAGCCGAAGCAGTTGATCTCCTTCACCAGCATCTTGAGCGCCTCTTCTCACAAACGCATCTTCAAGCTGGAGTACCTGTCGCTGGAAAGCAAGGAAACCCTGCTGGAGATCAAGCTCGATTCTAGTCACGTCGCGAGCAGTCTCTACAGAGCTCTCACCGAAAAACACGCCTTCTATAGCTGCGAAACGGTAAATATTAATTTCTATCAACTGTCACGTTTGTAGGTATGCCAAATGCTGGTATCTGGCCATTAAATGCTTTAGTAGATTGTCTCCTCCATAGTTCATCTGCTCTATCATTGCCTTACAGCTGTTGCTGCAGATCCATCCAAACATTTCACCTCTGGAAATTCTCCCAAAACCATCAACACGTGGAAATATTGGTATTGGTAGGAGTGAATGGTGATATTAGATCTATTGTACCATTTGCCCCATCTTCTTCTACTATCTCAAGGTCCTTTGTTTATCACAGCCCCTCAATCTTCAATTCTTTTAGGAATTTGAGTATTTTGAGATCTTTTCCTGGTATTTCTTCCACAGTTAGCTGGTATCATCCCAGTATATTCGATCTTTTGTGATGTACAGCATAACACTCCAGCAAGATGTGGTGGGGTTTTCTGGATGTTCCTTGCAGAATCTGCAGGTGCTGTCTTCCTCTAAGTCTAGCTTCCTCAGATGTTCTGTTCTTTGAGTCTACAATGCTTCGTCAAAAATCCAGTTATTGCTTTAAGACTAATTTTGTTGAGATTGATCAGTGTGAGTACTACAATGTTTCACCATTTTTAGGCTAGCTGGATACGCTGTAGATCCAAAACATGCCCCCTTTCCATTTATAATTGGATCATGTTGCACGTTGTGAAGACCACTCAGGAGATCTTTGGACTGCTGTATTCCTGAAAATCTTTGCAAGTGTGTTGCTTTCATTGCTTATTCAGCTTTATTTATTTTTTCTTCTTGGAAATGAGAATATCCAAGGCTGGTCCGATCAGTGGAGGATTACCTAGTTGTTCCTCCCCAGTGCCTAGATTGTTGAGGTTGTTTAGGTTGTTTAGGTATTCCTCAACTATCTTTGAGTTGATATTGAAAGAGCTCAACGCTTTGGTGGCTGCTTGGCTATCAGGTATTTTCTGCCCATAAAAATAACCTAAGTGCTTTTTTCTTCCAGGTTAGGAGTGCAGTGACCACTCAGTTCATCAGGGACCTGAAGGGGACCATCGTCTCGATCTTCAACGAGGACTCGACCTTAGGCAAGAAATACGTCTTCGACATCCAGAGGACTTGCAGGGAGGTGTACGACAATGCGAGGAGGGTGCTGTATCAGGAGAACATCGCGCAGGTGCCCAAAATCGAGCCGGGTTGCTTCCACGACGACGGAGTCAGTTGTAAGGTGGGTAGAAGAGATTTTAGACTTTTCTTACTTCCTTCCATATCTTCCGAATGAAACACAACTTCGCGACTACTACAGGGCGTACCCAATTTTTTTTTCTGATGAGGTCGAAATAAGCAATTTTTCAACTTTCTTCGAATCCACCCAAATGAAACACAAAATCTTCACTTCAAGAGCGACCCATTTTTTTCCTGAGGGGAGTAGGAAAGCATCGTCTTACGTTTACTTCCATCAAATCCACCCGAATGAAACACAAAATCGCGTTTTCAGGGCGTACCCAATCATTTTTCTGATAGGTTGAAATAATCAATGTTTCAACTTTCGTCATATCTACCCGAATGAAACACAAAGATCTTTACTTCAGAAGCATACCCAATTATTCTCTGAGGAACTAGGGAGAAATCCTCTCTTCTTACTTCCTTCAAATCCACCTGAAACACAAAATCGCCACCTCATGACATACCCAATCTTTTTCTTGATAAGGTTGAACTAATCGATTTTTTAATTCTTCGTATCCACACGAATGAAACAAAAAATCTCCAATTCAAGAGCTACCCAATTTTTTCCTGAGGAAGTAGAAAAGAGCCGTATATTTTTATTTCGAATACACCCGAATGAAACACAAAATGGCAGTCAAAGGGCGTACCCAATTCTTTTTCTGACGAATAAAACACAAAATATCCACTTCAGAATCATATATTTTTATTTCCTTCGGATCCACCCGAATGAAACACAAAATCGCGACTTCGCGATCGTACCCAATTTTTTTCCGAGTGTCAAACCATAAAAATAGTTTTTTTCAACTCCTTTGGACTCTATCCAAATGAAACTCGAGAGGGTCAAAAATGATGAATTGGTGTTTCGAAATGGTATATTTCCACATCACCCGAATGAAACATAAAATCATGACGTACCTTCAAGGGCGAACCCAAATATTATTTCAAGAACCATAAATGAAAAATCGGTTCTTCTCACTCAATTTGACACCATCCAAATTAAACCCATGATCGAGACTTCATTTTTGTGTGTCAAAACATCGCTTTTCAAACTTCTTTTGATACCATCTTAATGAAACACAAAACCGCTACTACAGGGGCATACCCAATTTCATTCTGAGGGGGTCAAAAATGGATTACTTCGAAGCCACCCGAATGAAACTTTTTTGAAACCATATTAATAAAACACATCAAAACTTCAGGGGCAAACTAAATATTTTTCTGAGGGATCAAGAAAACAGTTTTCCAAACTCAGAAACCAACCGAATGAAACACAATATAACGATTCCAGGGCCGTCTCCAATTGGTTGAAGTGGTGAAAAATGAAGCCTGCTAACTTATTTCGATTCCTTCTGGATGAAACACAAAATCGAAAATTAAGGGGCGTACTCAATTTTTTTCTAAGGGTGTCAAAAAAATTAGTTTTCAAAATTACGTCGACACCATGCGGATGAAACACAATATCGCGACTTCGGAGGCGTTCCCATTGTTTTTCTGAGGGGGTCAAAAATAAAAAATGCCAGAACTTCGAAATTCAAAAAATTTATAATTCCTTTTTTTTTTTCTAGGACTCCGAGGAAAAATTGCACCGACTCATGGACGCGCTCACGTGCAAGATATGCATGGACAACCAGATCGACGTCGTCTTCCTGCCTTGCGCCCACGTGGTCGCGTGTACGTCATGCGCCGCGCGAGTCGATCGTTGCCCCCTCTGTCGGTCGGAATTCGAGCGGGCGCAGAAGCTCTATTTGCCCAGCGAGTTTTGCCGAGAGCTGGCCACGTAATCAGATAAGGAGATTCTAGTGTTGTTCATAATCGGATTATTTATTATTCTGACGATATTCAAGTGATTTGAAAAATCGGATTATCGTAGGAGTTGATTATTCGAAAAGTTGTCATGTGTCACGTCAGCCGTCAGATGGTCATTTCATTGATAATCATGTCAGAATTGTTAGAAGTCACAAAGGGTGTGTTTTTCATTCCAACAATTCATCATGCACATGAATCAAAGAAACCATCGAACTATTACAAAATTCCACTGAATTGTTGCTGGAAGTTCATAAAACTGTTATAAAGTTCGAATTTCAATTTGTTTTGCGGGAATCCAGCGGTTTGGATATTGTTTGAGTATTTTTCCTTGTTTTGAATTGAAAGAGTACGAAAAATATTGAGGATTTTTGAGATTCTTGAGAGATTTAAGTATATGGAGTGAGTGTTAATCAAGAAAATCAGTCTCTTCGGATTCTCAAGACAAATGACAGACTGACATAACGAAATCCATTTTTCATCAATGTGTTGTATATTCGGGTGTGTTTTTCATTCCATCGAAGAAGGTCCGCACTGATAGATGCGCCTTTTTTGCGTGACGTCACAAATTTTCTGATCAAATTTATGATGGAACCGACGCCGCAATGGAAAAAACGGATTTCGTTGTGTCAGTCTGTCATGTATCTTCAGAATCTGAAGAGGCCATTAAGATTTTATTGATTAACAATAATTCTATCCTCTAAAATCTCTGAAAAATCTCAAAAATCCTCAATTTTTTTTATTCTATCAAATTGAAACAAAAAACAAGACTTAAAATGTGACAATCGTCATGTCAATCTCCTCCAAACCACTGAATTATCTCAAAACAAATTGAAAGTGTGCATGTCAAAACAACAGTTTTATGAATTCCGATCAACATTCCAGCAGAATTTTGCAACAGTTCCATGGTTTCTTCGATTCATGTGCATGACAAATTATTGGAAAAAAAACACACCCTTCCATTGTTTCATCGGTTCCATCAGAACAATTATTGACGTCATGACAAAAATGTGCATTATTAATGGAATGCAAAACAAACCCAAATCAGTTGATTTTGATATTTTTGATTACTTATTATTGGTATCATATTACTTCTGACCTAGTCCTGTTCGTTTAACAGGTAACCAAACTCTTATGACAACAGACACATGACAGTTTTGACATTGACAGGTATAGTAGGTACCTACTATTTCAATCAAGTTATTTTTCATTGGTATTCTCCCAACACTGATAGAATTATTTTCGATTCGAATTGTAACTTCACTAGAAAATTCGTACGTGGAGAGATCCAAGACTAGAGGTGCGGACAGTTTTCATAAAACTAGTCTTTTGAGTGTCGTATTTTTTTGTTTGACAAATCGACGATAATAATTACGTGCTAGGATATCTTGACTGTTGAATGTTTCTTGTGATTAGAATCTCATATTGAGATTCGCTTGTTAATCTGAACGGTTTTAAGTTTGGCAACTTAAAGTTTTGTGTATGTGCAGATCGAGCAGGCTGGATGACACTTTTGACAAATTTGATGAAATTCCTGTGTTTTTGCAGGACCGATGAAAAATTATTCTCACATTGTCATACATTACCCAATGTTAATGCTATTTTCACTCCTAAAATATTCGTATACAGTGTGTCCAACTTTGAGCGGCACCACTCTTTAATACTTTCCTATTTATTAACCGAATTGAAAAAAATTCGCTCAATATGTATTCGTATACAGGGTGATTCAAAATTCGATGTGAATATTTCAAGGACATATTGTAGGTATCAAAATAAGACTTTTTCTTCATATAAAGGTCATCTAAAATTGTGACTAAAATTAAGGGTGAGATCTTCTGAAAACTGGCATATACTCCTGTATTTTTGGACACTTCATTTCCTTTTTGATTAAAAAATTATATAAACCCAGTTTTGGGGGAGTTGAAGGGGGGTCCACACTTTTATTCGCCCAAATTTTATGTTACAAAAAGATAAACTCTGACTTCGAATAGCATGATCTTGTGGGCCATAAAAAAAAACTTGAGAACTCGGTCTCTTGCATTTCTTCGTACAACTAACCGATTGCCAGAAAATCGTAATCAACGAGAGAGGAAGTCACGACATCGTTTTCTAGAATGGGTGGGTTATTTAAACGCTTGCATACGGAGGTGATCGGATATCGGAACGGATTCTAGACGCACTAGATCCGTTATTATGATCACAATGTCAGATCTTTTTTTTACCAAACTTACAGTGGCAGAAGCCCAGAAAGGGTGCATTTCAGGTTAGGTGTGAATGACGAAAAATGCTCATTTTGGTCCCGACAATACGTCCTTGACATATTTAAATCGAATCTCGAATCACTTGGTTTATTACTCAATAACAGGCCATGACACCATATGATCAATTGAAACTACAAAGAATCTGTTAATTAGTAATATCAGGCAATTTTTTTATCGGAAAACTAATATCACCAGCATGGTGGGATACTGATGTGATATCATATACAAAAATGTAGAAATCGGTCAACGAATACGAAATAAATACAAGGGTGGCGCTGCTGAACGTAGACACACTTTATATACCCAACGACAACGATTCTGAAGTGAATATTATCTTTTTTTTCTGTTGCTCAACGTTTCAGGATGAATAACTGGTCTCACTTTCCAGTCATTTATGTCTATGGAGAAAATACTCCAATTTGTCAGGTGTCAAGCCTGTTTTCGAAAAACAGAAAATTAATTTCTTTAGCATTAAGTTTAATAATAATTCTAGTGAGTATGTTTCTCTTTGAAGCTCACAATGAATAATTCATCGACATATTTTAGTCATTAATCAATGCAAGATAGTTTTTAGGATGAGATGTTTAGTTATTTGTAAATATGAAAAAACAGTTTATATATACATATTGTGTATATTAGTATTGATAAATGTTGTGATATACTGAAATTTTATTTTGTGATAATTTTGTATTCATTATTAGAAATGGAGTAATATTTCCGTTGGACAATAAGTTTTTTCGAGCTTTAGTAATACTACAGTAGTTACTCTTTCTATATATTATAGACATAGTTTCTATGAAAACATGTAAAAGAGTATTTCACCCTGTTATATGAACTTTCCACTCTTCAATTCAAGTGAAAAAGTTTCTTGGTGAAGTGCTGTTTTTCTATATTATGTGAACCCTTCATCATGGACCCCAAGAAAAAAACGTATAGTATAAAAAGTAACAATAAAAAATCTCTATTTCAAACATTTCTATGTAGTTTTATTCACAGAGTCCAAAACCTTGGTGCCAATTTTCTTGACTGAAAAGTGAAAACCACAATCAGATTTGGGAGTATGGAATGATTCGAATGTTGCTTCTCATAGGAAAGAAATAAAAATGTTTTTCTGCAACCGACAAAAAAGTCGTCCATTTTGACACCAAAATTAGCTCTCAAATTGACGTTTCTATTACTGACACAAAAATAGGTATGTTGCTAGGCAACATAGTTAGTTCCTAGGAGCTAAAGTTGAATTTTAGTTCCTAGGAGCTAAAGTTGAACTTTAGCTCCTAGGAACTAAAAAGGATCTACTGGACGTCATCAAGAATGAACAACATTGTGATGGTTGGTTATTTGGGTTGAGACGCATACCTGATTTGTTTCCGATTTCAGCAGATTTGGCATTTCATACCCATGCTGGAGATATAAATACACCTTATTATAGTTTAGTATTGGAATTATAAACATCTCAGTTAAGTATTTTTGTTTGATCAGGGAAGCCTTCAAGATTCAAATAATTGCATGATCTGTATTTAATTCATTCGATATTCTCGGGATGGATAACTTGTTTTTGAATAATCACGGCAAGCAATAGTTTTTTTGTCTCAAACAACGATATTGTTTAGCTTCATTTGATTATCAAGTCAAACACAGTGTAGTATGGAGAGGAATAAATAATCACTATTATCATTGTTGATATGCTCACTAACCTAACATTTTCCACGTCTTGTTGCTATAACTGGCACTGGCGCGGTATTTGCCATTAGAGCACCTGGTCCATACACAAATATGTCACTCTGTGGTTGTATTTATATTGAAACTACAATTCGAACATCCTAGAAAACCTAACCTGCTGTTAATGCAGGTAGAATATTCTCACCACATGGATTATTTGTCAATATTTGTTGCATTCCATACATATGGCACGGCATTGGTGGTTACTTCACATGTTTATTTGAGTTAATTGTTTCGGTTGCAGAAAAAATAGCATGTTTTATTCGGATCAAAAGTGACTTTGTTCGACTCGCAAATTTTGCTTCCGCTCGGCTTCGCTAAACGCTCCGCCTCGCAAATGCAAAATTCGCTTGTCAAACAAAGTGCCACTTTTGATCCTAATAAAACAATCTACTATTGTAAAGCTGCTAAATTTGCAAACTTCCTCTGTAACTGAATGTTGCGGTGGGTATTCCTGGGATACAAATAAAACAATGAACTTATTTCTCATTCTATTTTATTATCGATATGAAAAGACAGATTTCGCCTCAGTGTACAATGTTTTCAATGCACTAGAAATACTCCATATCGCTAAAATTGCAATCAGCACCACAGCGAAAATTTGCTCGTTTTCCAAAATCCCTGAGTAAAACATGAATTCGTCTAGAAAGAAACCCAATGATAGACTAATTATTCCCACGCAAAACGAGGCAATGCCAAGAAAATTATGGACAAACTTGAACATTACTGGAGGAATGTTATTTTTGAAGCTTTGCGAATTGGCAGAAAGTAGTCCAAGAAAAACAGAGATGATTGACAGCAACCAGGATACTAAACCTGAAAGGAAAACTTTGTTATTTTTATTTATTCCGAATCACAATTTTCCGGAAAATTCATATCGCATTCTGATTGATGAAGGCAAATTTCAATGGCATTGTAATCAAACCACCGCTAGTGGGCAGACTTAATGTAGTTGTATCTATCGAAATCGAATGACAACTAATGAACAAGATACTTACACCAATCACTACAAGCGTACAAGGTACTTTGATAGGAAGCGTAGTGTCTTTTCATTTTTTGGAATTTCTGGGACGAACAGGAAAAATATTTTTTATACCTGTATGAGCCTACTGCATTGCGTGAACCCCAAATTTTGAAAATCTGAGTGGAGGGTTTTGCACTAAATCTGACATCAAATTCTTTCTTGATGGGTCTGAACTAGTATCTTTTCATTTTTTGGAATTTCAGGGACAAACAGGAAAAATATATTTTTCCACCTGTAAGAGCCTACTGCATTGTGTGAACCGCTAATTTAGAAAATCTAAATGGAGGGTTTTGCACTAAATCTGACATCAAATTCTTTCTTTATGGGTCTGAACTAGTGTCTTATCATTTTTTGAAATTTCTGGGACAAACAGGAAAAAAATATTTTTCCACCTCTATGAGCCTACTGCATTGTGTGAACCGCTAATTAAGAAAATCTAAATGGAGGGTTTTGCACTAAATCTGACATCAAATTCTTTCTTTATGGGTCTGAACTAGTGTCTTATCATTTTTTGGAATTTCTGGGACAAACAGGAAAAAAATATTTTTCCACCTCTATGAGCCTACTGCATTGTGTGAACCGCTAATTTTGAAAATCTAAATGGAGGGTTTTGCACTAAATCTGACATCAAATTCTTCCTTGATGGGTCTGAACTAGTGTCTTTTAATTTTTTGGAATTTCTGGGACAAACAGGAAAAAAATATTTTTCCACCTGTATGAGCCTACTGCATTGCGTGAACCGCTAATTTTGAAAATCTAAATGGAGGATTTTGCACTAAATCTGACATAAAATTCTTTCTTTATGGGTCTGAACTAGTATCTTTTCATTTTTTGGAATTTCTGGGACAAACAGGAAAAAAATATTTTTCCATCTCTATGAGCCTACTGCATTGTGTGAACCGCTAATTTTGAAAATCTAAATGGAGGGTTTTGCACTAAATCTGACATCAAATTCTTTCTTTATGGGTCTGAACTAGTGTCTTTTCATTTTTTGGAATTTCTGGGACAAACAGGAAAAAAATATTTTTCCACCTGTATGAGCCTACTGCATTGCGTGAACCGCTAATTTTGAAAATCTAAATGGAGGGTTTTGCACTAAATCTGACATCAAATTCTTTCTTTATGGGTCTGAACTAGTGTCTTTTCATTTTTTGGAATTTCTGGGACAAACAGGAAAAAAATATTTTTCCACCTCTATGAGCCTACTGCATTGTGTGAACCGCTAATTTTGAAAATCTGAATGGAGGATTTTGCACTAAATCTGACATCAAATTCTTTCTTTATGGGTCTGAACTAGTATCTTTTCATTTTTTGGAATTTCTGGGACAAACAGGAAAAAAATATTTTTCCATCTCTATGAGCCTACTGCATTGCGTGAACCCCAAATTTTGAAAATCTGAATGGAGGGTTTTGCACTAAAGCTGACATCAAATTCTTTCTTTATGGGTCTGAACTAGTGTCTTATCATTTTTTGGAATTTCTGAGACCAACAGGAAAAAAATATTTTTCCACCTGTATGAGCCTACTGCATTGTGTGAACCGCTAATTTTGAAAATCTGAATGGAGGATTTTGCACTAAATCTGACATCAAATTCTTTCTTTATGGGTCTGAACTAGTGTCTTATCATTTTTTGGAATTTCTGGGACAAATAGGAAAAAAATATTTTTCCACCTCTATGAGCCTACTGCATTGCGTGAACCCCAAATTTTGAAAATCTGAATGGAGGGTTTTGCACTAAATCTGACATCAAATTCTTTCTTTATGGGTCTGAACTAGTGTCTTATCATTTTTTGGAATTTCTGAGACCAACAGGAAAAACATATTTTTCCACCTGTATGAGCCTACTGCATTGTGTGAACCCCAAATTTTGAAAATCTGAATGGAGGGTTTTGCACTAAAGCTGACATCAAATTCTTTCTTTATGGGTCTGAACTAGTGTCTTATCATTTTTTGGAATTTCTGAGACCAACAGGAAAAAAATATTTTTCCACCTGTATGAGCCTACTGCATTGCGTGAACTCCAAATTTTAAAAATCTGAATGGAGGATTTTGCACTAAATCTGACATCAAATTCATTCTTTATGGGTCTGAACTAGTGTCTTATCATTTTTTGGAATTTCTGGGACAAATAGGAAAAAAATATTTTTCCACCTCTATGAGCCTACTGCATTGTGTGAACCGCTAATTTTGAAAATCTGAATGGAGGATTTTGCACTAAATCTGACATCAAATTCTTTCTTTATGGGTCTGAACTAGTGTCTTATCATTTTTTGGAATTTCTGGGACAAATAGGAAAAAAATATTTTTCCACCTCTATGAGCCTACTGCATTGCGTGAACCCCAAATTTTGAAAATCTGAATGGAGGGTTTTGCACTGAAGCTGACATCAAATTCTTTCTTTATGGGTCTGAACTAGTGTCTTATCATTTTTTGGAATTTCTGAGACCAACAGGAAAAAAATATTTTTCCACCTGTATGAGCCTACTGCATTGCGTGAACCCCAAATTTTGAAAATCTGAATGGAGGGTTTTGCACTAAATCTGACATCAAATTCTTTCTTTATGGGTCTGAACTAGTGTCTTATCATTTTTTGGAATTTCTGAGACCAACAGGAAAAAAATATTTTTCCACCTGTATGAGCCTACTGCATTGTGTGAACCGCTAATTTTGAAAATCTAAATGGATGGTTTTGCACTAAATCTGACATCAAATTCTTTCTTTATGGGTCTGAACTAGTGTCGTATCATTTTTTGGAATTTCGGAGACCAACAGGGAAAACATATTTTTCCACCTGTATGAGCCTACTGCATTGCGTGAACCCCAAATTTTGAAAATCTGAATGGAGGGTTTTGCACTAAATCTGACATCAAATTCTTTCTTTATGGGTCTGAACTAGTGTCTTATCATTTTTTGGAATTTCTGAGACCAACAGGAAAAAAATATTTTTCCACCTGTATGAGCCTACTGCATTGTGTGAACCGCTAATTTTGAAAATCTAAATGGATGATTTTGCACTAAATCTGACATCAAATTCTTTCTTTATGGGTCTGAACTAGTGTCGTATCATTTTTTGGAATTTCTGAGACCAACAGGAAAAAAATATTTTTCCACCTGTATGAGCCTACTGCATTGCGTGAACCCCAAATTTTGAAAATCTGAATGGAGGGTTTTGCACTAAATCTGACATCAAATTCTTTCTTTATGGGTCTGAACTAGTGTCTTATCATTTTTTGGAATTTCTGAGACCAACAGGAAAAAAATATTTTTCCACCTGTATGAGCCTACTGCATTGTGTGAACCGCTAATTTTGAAAATCTAAATGGATGGTTATGCACTAAATCTGACATCAAATTCTTTCTTTATGGGTCTGAACTAGTGTCGTATCATTTTTTGGAATTTCTGAGACCAACAGGAAAAAAATATTTTTCCACCTGTATGAGCCTACTGCATTGCGTGAACCCCAAATTTTGAAAATCTGAATGGAGGGTTTTGCACTAAATCTGACATCAAATTCATTCTTTATGGGTCTGAACTAGTGTCTTATCATTTTTTGGAATTTCTGAGACCAACAGGAAAAAAATATTTTTCCACCTGTATGAGCCTACTGCATTGTGTGAACCGCTAATTTTGAAAATCTAAATGGATGGTTTTGCACTAAATCTGACATCGAATTCTTTCTTTATGGGTCTGAACTAGTGTCTTATCATTTTTTGGAATTTCTGGGACAAACAGGAAAAAAATATTTTTTCACCTCTATGAGCCTACTGCATTGTGTGAACCGCTAATTTTGAAAATCTAAATGGAGGGTTTTGCACTAAATCTGACATCAAATTCTTTCTTTATGGGTCTGAACTAGTGTCTTATCATTTTTTGGAATTTCTGAGACCAACAGGAAAAAAATATTTTTCCACCTGTATGAGCCTACCGCATTGTGTGAACCCCAAATTTTGAAAATCTGAATGGAGGGTTTTGCACTAAAGCTGACATCAAATTCTTTCTTTATGGGTCTGAACTAGTGTCTTATCATTTTTTGGAATTTCTGAGACCAACAGGAAAAAAATATTTTTCCACCTGTATGAGCCTACTGCATTGCGTGAACCCCAAATTTTAAAAATCTGAATGGAGGATTTTGCACTAAATCTGACATCAAATTCTTTCTTTATGGGTCTGAACTAGTGTCTTATCATTTTTTGGAATTTCTGGGACAAATAGGAAAAAAATATTTTTCCACCTCTATGAGCCTACTGCATTGTGTGAACCGCTAATTTTGAAAATCTGAATGGAGGATTTTGCACTAAATCTGACATCAAATTCTTTCTTTATGGGTCTGAACTAGTGTCTTATCATTTTTTGGAATTTCTGGGACAAATAGGAAAAAAATATTTTTCCACCTCTATGAGCCTACTGCATTGCGTGAACCCCAAATTTTGAAAATCTGAATGGAGGGTTTTGCACTGAAGCTGACATCAAATTCTTTCTTTATGGGTCTGAACTAGTGTCTTATCATTTTTTGGAATTTCTGAGACCAACAGGAAAAAAATATTTTTCCACCTGTATGAGCCTACTGCATTGCGTGAACCCCAAATTTTGAAAATCTGAATGGAGGGTTTTGCACTAAATCTGACATCAAATTCTTTCTTTATGGGTCTGAACTAGTGTCTTATCATTTTTTGGAATTTCTGAGACCAACAGGAAAAAAATATTTTTCCACCTGTATGAGCCTACTGCATTGTGTGAACCGCTAATTCTGAAAATCTAAATGGATGGTTTTGCACTAAATCTGACATCAAA